CAGGCCAAGAATGTATTTTTGTAAAAAATGCAATTGTTTCTAATCAATAGATTATATATATACATGATATTTAAAATATGAATATATTATGTAATACAGCTATTTAACGTATGTATTACTTCATATACTTATTTTTGTGGTAAACATCTACTCCTTTAGCATTTTTAAAGAATATAATGGATAGTTATTAACTGTAGTTACCATGTTGTATAATTGATTTCTTAAACTTATTCTTCCTATGTAAGTGAGATTTTGAGTCCACGGACTAATAAGTCCTCAGCCTCTGACAACTACTATTCTATTCTCTGCTTTTATGAGTTAAACTTTGGTGACATTTTATATATATGTGTGTGTGTCAGAGCATGCAGTATTTGTCTTTGTGGGATTGGCTTGTTCACCTAAAATAATGTCTTCTAGGTCCATTCATGCTTTTGAAATGATAGGATTTCCTATTTTTGAAAGCTACATAGCATTCCTATATATATACATTTTCTTTTTAGTCATTCATTCATCCATTGATGGACATGGGTTGATTCCATATCTTGACAATTATGAATAAAGCTGTGATGAATTTGGAGTCAGCTATCTCTTCAACATGCTAATTTTTTATCTTTTGGGAATATACCCAGTGGGAAGATTGCTAGATCATATGGAAGTCCTATTTATAAATTTTTGAAGATCATCCATACTGTTTTCCATAATGGCTATACCAATTTACATTCCCACCTACAGTGTCTAAGTGTTCCTTTTATCCCACATCTCCACCAACATTTTCATCTTTTTGATAATAGCCATTCTATCAGGTAGAAGGTAATACTTCTTTGTGGTTTTAATTTGCATTTCTCTTCTGATTAGTGATGTTGAGCATTTTTTTCATACACCTACTAGACATTTGTATGTTTTCTTTTGAGAAATGCTTTAGATCCTCCACCCATTTAAAAATTTATTTTAAATTTTTTACTTTTTTGGTACATTTTTGAAGTACTTAATGATTACATTCCTTGTGGGGAGTTGGTACATATGTACATAACACATCTTAATTATTTTTTCAAATCTTTCCCCTGCCCTCTCTCCCCTCTCCTTCTACCTCTTGGTCCTTTTCCCTTTTGCAAAAGATCTATCTCCCTATCTCCTATTATCTGTCTTTTATTTTGTCATTTATTCATATTTTGGGTTTCTCGTGTAACTTAAACCATGCAATATTTAAGCTTGTGTGTCTGATTTTGTTTTCTTACTCTTTATTTTTTGCATTCTTTATATATTTTGGACAGTAACATTTATCACAAGAATAGTTAACAGATATTTTCTCCCATTCTGGAGGTTATATCTTTGCTCTGTTGGCTGTCTGCTCGGTCATACACAAGCTTTAAGTTTGACATAATTCCATGTATCTATTTCTACATTTGTTGCCTATGTTTCTGATTCATATAAAAAAAATCTTTGCCAGACCAATTTCATGGAACTTTTTCCCTATGTGATTTCTAGCAGTTTTACCATTACATATTCTATATTTTTGTTTTACCTTGTGAGTTTATTTCCATGTATGCTGTGATATGTGAGTCTAATTTCATTCTTCTGCATGTGGAGATCTAGTTATCCTATCATCATTGATTGGAGGTTGTCGTTTACCCATTATGTGTTCTTGGTACCTTTGCCAACAATTAATTGACCATAAAATGTTTGGGTTGTTTTTCTTGGATCTCTATTTTATTACATTTATCTGTGTGTCTCTTTTTATGGTGAAACCATACTGTTTTAATTGCTGTAGTTTTGGATGCCATTTGAGGTCAGCTAGTGTGTTATGTCACATGTCCAAAATCCAAGCAGTTATTATCAACTCAAATTTTAACACTCTGACTTCTACTCTGCATCATTAGTCTTAACTTGTTTTGCTGTTTCCAAACATTATTCAATATAGTACACATAAGCATACTTTCAAGATGTTATGGTTGATATTTTCAGTTTTTATAATTTCTTTTTTATTAGACTTTATTTAGAAGTAGAGACTGCTTCTACCTTGACAGTGGTAATAGTCTCCAGGCTATGCTCCTTACTGCTAATCACGTTTGCTTATCTATGGCATGTTACCCAGAAGAAGGGTAATGTGGGATCAGTCTGAACTGAATCCCCTTCTGCCAGTTACTGGAAGTAGAGTCTCTGTGAAATGAGGATGATATTCATAGAACCTGTCTTATAGAATGCTTTGAGGATCAAATAAGATTGAGTAACCAAAATAATTCAACATGCTGTCTGGACATAATAAATGTGCAACTCCTTGGTTAAACAGTCTTTGATAGTTTTCATTGCCTAGAGAATTAACTGTAAACTTGTATTCAAATAAAATTTCTTTTTACTAATCCAAATTTATCTCCAGGTTCTTCCTAATACCCTTATGTTCTTCCCACCTTCATGCCCTTATGTCCTACATTTTGGCCTAGATTTCTCCCATGAAAACTGAAGGCTTGCACAACCGTCTTACCCCCAGCTGCAGTCACTCTGTTTTTTCATCATGTCATTTATCTGTTACCAGTTATCCTTATATTGTATTGTAATTTATTGATATGTCTGATACGATACCTAATTATATTTCTCAAGGATGGAAATTCCCTTTTATTTTTTAAAATAAACTATTTTAGATCATTTTTAAGTTCACAGGAAAATTGAGCGGATGTATAGAGGCCCCATATAGCCCTCACATCCCAGTCCACTGTCAACAACCCTCTCTAGAGTGGTGCATTTGCTACAAGCTATGACCCTTGGCTTGACACCTTGTTATGAGTTATGCTAGCATTCACTCTTGGTGTTATACACTCTATGGGGTGGACAGGTAAGCCATCCTTATCGTATCATACATAAGAGTTTCACTACCCTAAAAATACACTGTTTATTCATTCCTCTCTCTCTAGTCCTTGGGAAGAGCTTTTTGTACACTTATCTTTATAATATAACATAATTCCTAACACATAGTTACCCCAAAATAAATGCTTTTAGATGTGTGGTTGAGTGAATAAAACAAGGAGAGGAGATACCAGAGATAACTAGAGCATCTTGTCATTGTTACTGTCTTCCTAAATGATGATTTTGGTCCATTTTAATATTTATCTGTACTTTCCTATCCTAGAAGGATAGGAAAAGAAGTCTACACCACCTATTCTGAGATACCAATTCAATTCCTATGTTATCCATTAGACTGTAGACAAAAGTGTGCTCTGGACACTTCTAAGATTTATTTTTTGAATAATCCATTTAATTAATGCATGTAATTTTTTGTTTTAAAGGCTATGTCTGAATTCCTCATTGAAACTGAGTTGTACTTTTATGTTGTGGGTCGAGTTTTACAGGAAATCATCACCTTACTTTTTATGAGCAAGAGGTGCTTTCATAAATTACTGGTTTTTACTTGAGATTGTAGAGAGGTCATGGAACAGAGAAACCTGGTGGTTTATTAAAAAAATTCATAGTCTCAGCCTCTTTTGTATAAATTCATCTGTCTAGGACAAAAAACTATTGGGAACCAATTAAAAACATAAAAAAGTAAACATTTTCAGATTTGAGTTTGCAACATTTTTCATAAAAGCTATATAGGATTCCAAGTTATCTATAAATATAGCTTTTTTATGGGCTAAAAGTTACAGAACATTTTCCATCCTTTGCCAAGTATTTAACTTTCTACAACTATATTTCTGATATTATTTTGTTTTATTATGAATTTAAGACGAAAATTTACATGATGTTGATTTTCTAGTCATCTTTTTTTTTTTTTTACTGCTGCCATCACTACCAAATTCTGAACATAAGGGAAAATTAGTTCAAAGTTTGAAATTTTATTCATTTAATGCTGGTTGATACAAGAAGTGATCCAATTACATGGTAGGTGTTTAAAATTTTAAATTATTATATTAAAAGACACATTGCTGTTAATTTCCCTCAAAATACTACCCCTCACTTTGAACATTTATCCTTCTTGCTCCTTTTTTGAAGTGGCCACTTCAATAAGTTGCCTTTTATTTGCCAAGCCTGGAAGTCCTCTTTCATGAGTATTTTTATGAAATGTAATAAAAAACATGGTGAATGCTGCTATCAAGTGTCACCCAATGGAAAGGCAGGCTCATGAAAACATTATGGTGTGTTCCCATCCATCTATTCACTGGATCTGGCACTGTGCGACTTCTGGCTCCTCCCCAAAGTCAAAATGACCATGAAAGGAAAACATTTGAATTAAAGCAGGACATCAAGGCAGCCATGACAGTGCAACTATAGACACTCATAAAAGAGGACTTCCAGAACTGGTGCAGAAAGTGACAAGAATGAGATCAATTTATTCAAAGCAGGGGGGAGTAATTGGAGGGAGCTGATGGCAATATATCTTTTAGTGTAATGATTTGTTAAAAAATAGTTTAACATTCACTGTATTTTTGATCATACAACATATGCTTATCTGGGGTGATAATCTGGTTTATCTATAAAATCACTTTGTATGAATATAAGTTTTTCATCAAGGTTTTTCACTGAGATGTTTATCTGCAATTTGAGGGATTTCTGGGAAAAGTTATTTGAGGAGGCTTGAATTTGGTTTTTATGAATCATGGAGAAATGAAGCACCTACTTAATAAAGATCACTATGCACTAGAAAGACTATGGGAAAAGCTGCAGCTGGGTCATATTGTAAAATCATATTCCTTTTTAGTTAAAGTAAGGTCTTAGTCATTCATATAGCAGTATTAGTCTTCAGAGCTATGCTAGATGATCTGTCATGAATTGAATAATTTTATTCTCCTTGGAACATATTACAGGGAGTGATAACTTACCATTTTAAAAGGAAACAAAACATTTAATAAACAATGTCTTTAAACTATACCACTGAGCATATTCCTTATTATGATCTGGTAATTGATAGCAGGTTTAAGCTGAAATCTCAATTCGTGTTCGCAAAAGTAATTTCAAGTCTTCAAAGGTAAACTGAGTGATTAGGTTCATGGCAGTTCTATTTTTATTCACAGATAATGCCTCTGAGGTAGCAACTACGGCTCCAGGAACTAGTAACCATAGAAACAGCTCCACAGGCCCAACACCTGACTGCTCACCTCCATCCCCTGACACTGCCCTAAAGAATATTGTAAAAGTTATTCGACCCCAGGTAAGTGCCCAGAGTGACACCATCTGCAATGCCATGTGTGCTACTTTTCAATTAATGCATGGATACCACTTATTCACAATGCCTGGGCTATTATGTGATATGTAATTGATTTTTAAATTGAAAAAAGGAATTCAGTAAAGGATGTTTGCTTCCTTTGAAATTGATAATAGACACTGGAATCTGCATTAGCTCTTAGAGAAATTAATCTTGTATATTATAAGAAGAAATAAGCGAAGCTTAGAAAAATGGCTATTTCACATTTTCCTCTTGCAACCTTTTAGTAATGATGCTCCAGTTATTTAGCTATTACTATGTTCTGTTGTTTCCTGATTTTCTTCATTCCTCTGGACATGTTGCATTCTTTGTGCTTGCTTCTCTGTCCTCCAACTCCAATAGTTTTTATGTATTTTCTAAGTTCTCGGTTCCTTATGGTTTCTGGATACTGTTGTCCATGTTTGGCATGGCGGCTCTCATTGCTCCTTATTTTCTCCAGTGTTCACATCCCTCACTAGTCTCTCGTCATCCTTTGTTCTCTTTCCCATTTCTGCCACTTGTCTATATGGGTTTCTTTCTCTTCCCCCTTCTCTTTCAGTTGGATTTCCCAGTAGGCGGTTTGCAGGCAAGCTTTAGAAATATCATTGGGACAAGCTGTTCTGTGATATTTCATTGAAAATAGTACTTATAAAGCTGTTTGCATTATATTTTTGCCAACAGATGGACCCAGAACAGGGAATTGGTGGTGTTCTCAACCTGGCTCATTCTGAATGGGCCTTATAAACTCCGAGAGAGGGGGACATAGGATCCAATCAGTACCAGTCAACATCTACTGAGATATATAATATGAGTAAATCTCTTCAGTCAATCTGAAGAGCAAAAGTGTCTTTTTAAGACTAAATGAGCAATGATATGTTTAATATCTTAACTTTAATATAACTTATTTTGGATTTTTTTGCTACAATCATCATATTCGTTGGTAAAATGCATTTAAACCTCACATAATCTATAGTTTATAGAATGTTTTTATATAAATTATTTCATTTAACTTATTCCAAAGGAATTTATATTCTAGGTATAGATGAGGACACAGGTGCTCTGAAAGGGGTAAATTGTCCAACTTATTTGGAGTTGCTTTACTTTCCTTAGGTACAATATCTGTTTCCTCCAGTCCTGTTCAGAGCTTTTAAAAAATCCTCCTGACAACTGGACACAGCTTTCTGAGCACTTACTTGACAAGTTCAGGGCTATTTAGACACAGATAACGTTTTACAGTGCCCCATATGTGGAGGAAGAAATGTGTTCAAAAACTGCCTTTCTTTTGTCAGGGAAATTTTACCTTAGTCTATTTGATTAAATACATAAACCTCCCTAAACTTGGATTGAGTTGCTGTATGTCACATGTTATCTTTGGCTCTCTTATTATATGAAGGTGTTTCTGGTATTGTTGTGTATTTATCATATTCCCAGCATCTTGAAACTACCTGGGTAAGTCATTGTCCTACTTACGTTAATAAAATTCATGACTATTTGTCTTAGTTACTTTTCTTGTTGCTGAGACAAAATACCTGGCACCCAAAATTAAAGAGGAAAGGTTTATGTAGCTCACAGTTTATAGAGGCTTCAGTCCGTAATCAGCTGGCTCCAGGGCTGGGTGGTGTGGCAGAGGGGCATTGCAAAGGAGAGACAGTTCATGGCAGGCAGAAGGTAGTGAAACAAGCAAGGGACTTGGTCATCTCTTTTTATCCCTCGTATCTTATCCAGGCTACCTAGGGCAGGTAGCATCCACACCCTTAATCCTAGTGCCCTTGATCCTAGCACTGCACCATGAATTATCCCAGCATGACACACTAGATCCAGCCGCCTCTGAAAAAGCTCCATTTCTGACCATGTGAGGCTTTGGCAGAATGTCTAGACACAAGCCATACCACTATTTATTATTTTGGGTTTTTGAGACAGGGTCTCACTATGTAGTTCAGGCTGGGCTTGAATTTACTAGGTAGCCCAGGTTGGCTATCTATCTATCTATCTATCTATCTATCTATCTATCTATCTATATTTATTTATTTTTATATCAGTGTAAATTCTCTAATATGAAGGTATTTCATTATTTAATGAGTGAAAAGCAATTCCTAAGAAACATTATTTCATAAATCCTTCTCTCCACTTTTTGTTTTATTTTAGTTCAGGCTAGCTAATTTTATTTTTATGAATCTTGAAGAAAACTAGAAGTAGTATTAGAACCAGAAATTAATTCCAGAAATTAAAACCATCTTGATTCTATTCTTCAGTTCTGTTGTTATTAAATGTTTATGGAGATAACTGGCTTTACTTTTCTCTTTTGGACGTTATAATGATGATTGAAAAGCAAAAAAATAAAGACATGTGAGAGTTCAGTAACTTGGGATGATGGTTTTAAGCTAAAACCCATGCCATGCATAAGCATATATATAATAGAACATAATAGCCCATATATTATATATCTGTACTGTATCTAATCGGGAAAGAAAATAGCATCAATCAGTCTGCTCTTCCTTCTGCTCCAGAGACTTTGCTGCATCAATCATTTCTCCTTATTACTTCTGGTCTCCCGGTTCCTCATGTACTGCAGAGAGACAGGAGTAGAAAATTCCCATAGACATAATTATGAGGTGGTGTTGGGTAGAACACATGGTCTCAGGAAAGGGCTCGCCCAGAATGGGTGGATGCATGGAACAGACAATCTCCAGTGCGTCTCACAGGTCTTAGGTGTACAGGCCAAAAATTGTTGAGAGTTACTATTTCAAAAAAAAAAAATTATTGGTTAGCTTATTTAAGATCTTATATTTTGATCACAGGTTTAATCCTCTAAACTATTTATTCTGGTTTTCTGAGTGTAAATGTGAAATTAGATCCACTTGTGGATGTTCAAATACTTTTTTCCCATTTACTAATTAGAAATTAACATGGTGGAAATGATTTCACTTTTAATACTGGTGATGAGACTTAAAAATAAAAGTATAAGTGTGGACCTTATGCATTTACATTTCCTTCATTGAGCATAAGCTGATGTGTTCAGGTTTTTACTCTGGGGACAGCGATATTCAAGAAAGAACTTTCACCTTATTTATTCACTGAAAATATATACTGCTTAGGTAGAGCAAGTTGGGCTACTTCCCCTCTGCTTCATGCATGCCTTCATTTAGTTTAGTTTCTGATAACTGTACCTGTAAATGGAAAGTATCCACCATAGACAAGGAATCCTTGCTTTCACTATCAGATGGGGCTAGTTAGATTATACATTTGCAAGTGTTTCTGATTAGTGTGTTAATTACTTGGATGCTGCAGACTTTCCAGTGCTTTGTTGAGTTTGTTTTTATTCCATATATTTATTAACTCACTATGTCACAGCTGTTCTGTAGCCTGTGTTTGATCTTTTCACCTTTGTTTCATTGGGCTCTTTCATGTCTTGAAATCCTCCAGATTGTGAAACATTCTATTTTTAATTAATAGGAATTGAAATATTTATATGCTGCTGGTTTCTCTCAAGTATATTAACCCACAAGGCTGAATTCCTCTACTTAGAAGAATCCACAAGGCTGGATTAATTTACTCATACTTCTACTCTTTTAAAAAAATACTTGAAAAGACTTGAAAAAATTATCTTTGAAAAAATATTGGCTAGGTCTACTGACATGCCAATTTGCTTCTTTCTACTAAACAATTACGTGTTTCATATACTGGCTTTTTTTTTTTTTTTTGGTACTGGGGATTGAACTTGGAACTTTGCACTTGCAAAGCAGACAGCAGAACCGCTGAGCTAAATCCCCAGCCACTGTACTGGCTTTTTGTATTAGCACTTTTCAAATATTCAGTATATTGTCATTAACCCAGTCACTCAACTGTACAATACGTTTACATGCCTTGGTCAGTATCTTTTCAATCTCTTCTCCCTCCTATCCACCCAGCCTCTAGTAGCCACCCTGTCATTCTCTATTTCCATGAGATAAACTTTTTTAGATCCTAGGTATAAGTGAAGCTATGCAATATTTATCTGTCTGTGCCTGACTTCACATCACTAATCATCAGGGAAATGCATATCAAAGTCACAGTGAGATATCATCTCATTGTTTTAAAATGGCTATGATGGAAAAGCTGGCAAGGATATGAGAGAAGTGAGCTCTTGCCCACTGTGAGTAAGAATGTAAATTAGTACAGCCATTATGAAAAATTCATGGACGTTCCTCAAAAATTAAATTACAACTACCATATGATTCAGCAATCACACTTCCGGGTATATCTCCAAAGGAAAGGAGATCAGTATGTTGAAGAGATAGCTGCACTACATGTTCTTTGCAACTCTATTCACAATAGCCAAGATATAAACCAACCTAGGGGTCCATCAGTAGATGAATGGAAAAAGAAAATGTGGTGTATATGCGGAATGGAATGATAGTTTCTCTTAAATAAGACGGAAATCTTATCATTTGTGAAAACATGGATGAACCGGGTGGTTATTAGGTTAAGTAAAATAAACCAGCTTTTAATTTTTTTTGTTTCCTGGTAAAACAGTTTCCTTCAATTGAATAATAAACACATATCTTAAATATACAGTTTGATACTCTGAGACTTGTATCTGTAGGTGTGACAACACTCAAAACAAGGTATAGAATATTACCACCATCCCAAAGAGTCTCACCATGCCTCTTTCAAATGAATTGCCCTCATTTCTGCCTCAGGGCAAGTACTTTCTGATTTTTATCAGCATAGGTTAGGGTTGCCTTGTCCTGTACTTTACATAATGGAATCCTTCAGTGAGTGATGTGTGTGTGTGTGTGTATGGTTTCTTTCCCTCAGCATGATATATTTGAAATCTATTCATATTACTTCTGTATCTATGGAGTGTATTCCACTGCATCGAAATACTACAATTTATCCATTCTCCTATTGATTGAATTATAACCTGTTGTTTAATATTATATATGAATGCATGTATGTGAATCTTATTATAGATATATTTTCATACA